CTCAAGATTGAAGAAGCCGCAAGTCCAGAAAACCGTGAGGGCAAACTTTTTCGGAGTGAGGGTTGTAAACCTTTGGAACAATCTACCAGAGAGTGTTGTGATGCACCGAGTGTGAGCTCTTTCAAGAGAAGACTTGACCAACACTGGAGCGGGTTCAGGTACATTCAGGAGCCGGTGCATGCCCAGTATTTGCCAACAGTGCGTGACAGAGACGTGACCGATCGCCCGGGCGGCTAGCGATCCGATCTTTTGGTGAAGAATATGAATGAAAAGAGACGTGACCGATCGCCCAAGCGGCTAACAAGCCGATCAGTGGCGAAGAGGATAAAAGTAAAAGTAAAGTAAAAGAAGTGTCATTGTTTACACGGCGCTCGCCTCCTCCTGTCCGGTAGGCTGAGCTGGTGCCGCCTCCCGGGTGGGGGGTTGATTGGGTGGAGGGTACACTGCTGCCCCCTGGCCCTGTGTCGGCACACTTGTTTCCACTACCCTCCCCCTGAGTATAACCCATGTACACCTGTCCCCGTTCCTCCTCGACTCCTCCCTCTTCTGCTTCAAGTCCTGCAGGAGCTTCTTGTGCTGTTCCCTCTGCATTACCGTGCGATCTGGGTGAATGAATACATCCCGAAATGCCTCGCTCCTTGCTAAGTTTTTTGCCTGCCGACTAACCTGCCATTTCTCCTCCTCACTCACTAGTGTGATCCTGAGGGGGCGAGGCTTAGCCCCCTGCTTTTGTCCCAGCCTCCTCACATCCTGAGGGGTTGATGGAATCTTCAGAACCTCTGTACAAATATTTTGAAACAGCACCTTGTCGTGTGTTTCCTTACTCACACTTCCCTCCGCCTGGCTCTCTGGGACTCTAAAAACTATTACATTGTTCCTGCGCTGGAGACGTTCCTGGTGTTCCTCCTCTCCCCTAACAGTAGGTCCGTTAATTTTCATATCTTCGACACACTTCTTCAATCTCCCAAGCTGTTGTAGAACCTGTTCTGATCCTGCATTACTCTCCGCCCCCATTCCGTGGCCCTCCTAATACGTCAGCATAACTCCTGTTCGCAATCACCTCCATTCTATCGGCTACTTCCTCATTCTTAGCAAGGATCTCCTTCCCAACTTGCTCCAGTTTGGCAACCAGCAGGGCTCCAGCTTCATCTTAATATTGGAAGAACAAATACTTATAATGTATACAACCTTAATAACATCAACCTAGAGAAGTCGACTTGTGAAAGAGACCTAGGGGTACTTGTAAGCCCGGACCTACGGCCTAGAAAACAGTGCGTTAATGTTCGAAATAAGGCAAACAGAGTATTGGGTTTTATATCTAGAAGTGTAAGTAACAAGAGTGCAGAGGTCTTATTGCAACTATATCTTGCGCTAGTTAGGCCGCACCTCGATTATGCGGTTCAGTTCTGGTGCCCCTATTATAGAATGGATATAAATTCACTAGAGTCGGTGCAGCGAAGAATGACAAAAATGATTCCGGGACTTAGAAACCTTCCATATCAGGATAGGTTAAAGAAACTTAACTTGCATTCCCTAGAAAGACGAAGAGTGCGGGGAGATATGATAGAAGTATTTAAATGGGTGAAAGGAATCAATAAAGGGGATATAGATAAAGTTCTTATAATATCCAAGCAGGATAGGACTCGGAGCAACGGATTCAAGTTGGAAAGGTTTAGGTTTAGGAGGGAGATAGGAAGAAACTGGTTCACAAATAGGGTGGTGGACGAGTGGAACAAGCTTAGCAACTTTGTAGTAAGTGCGGGAACTCTGGAAAGTTTCAAAAGGAGGCTAGATAGATTCATGGATGATAGAGAGTGGTAGTAACTCTCTACAGGAGCTGCCATGCACAGGCCAGCCGGCCTATTGCAGACTCCTTATTTTCTTATGTTCTTATCTATTTTCGTCCCTAGAGGACTCGTTCCCTTATGGCTTGCAATCGCTTCATTCACCTTGACTATGCAGCGAGGGCAATACCAGCAACAGCCCTCATGCTTTACGGCCGTTAGTATCTTCCTAAATGTTGCATTAGTCAGGCCTGTATCCTCCATATCCGACGTCTCCCTGCAGTAATCACATATCAAACTCATGGTTGTTGTGGGGGTGGGGGGGGAGGGGGGTGCAGACTGTGTATAGATCTACACCTATTTAAAAAGGTAAAAGAGAGAAGAAGAACAGTGCTTAGCTACTCTCTGTTGCCTATAGAGTTGTCTTCTGCGACTGCGTACACTATATCTCCCTGTGAAAGGTGTATTGTAGGCACAGTTTCAGTCCTTGAGAAAGCACACAAACAAAATAAAATTTAAAATCTCTGTGGCATCTATAACAGGACTTGGTTTCAGCTGGCACAGTGCCTTTCCAGCTTGCTTGCTAGTTAGCGCTCACTTTAAGTTATTTACAACTCCCGCAGTCACTGATGACACTGTAGTGGATTCCTCCCCATCAATTGTTTGTCACTGAGTAGCCGACCCCGCGAATTCCCCAGTGTATGCCTCGTGGTCTAGGTCAACCAACGCCGCCTTACATGACGGAGGTCAACTATTAAGCCACGCCTACCTCCGCTACATAAGACCTGACTTCGTGGTGACCTACCTCTCTCTTTCTACCTACACCAACCAGCAAGCAACACCTCCTCCTCCTCCTGCCTGGCGGCCCTCGCTCCCGCCGGCGAGCATGGCGACCCACAAGCTGGTCCTCCTCTGAGCATCTTCACCAACCAGCTCTCTCTACATCACGCTTGTAACCACGCTGCCTCCTCCCAGCACTGAACCAATATCCCGTACCCCACAAATGGTGACCCCAGAGTGACCACTCACACAGGATGGAGGAGAAACTGATCACTCTCCCAGTCTTCAAGCAACATGGAAGACTGGCTTATCCACACAGAAGCAGCTCTCATCGGCTCTACAGCTACTGTCTCTACACCGCAGGTTAGACACCCTAGAGCAGCACTGCTTCTCTAAGCAGACACCAGCTCCTCTTCCTGCCCCAAGCACCACGTCCTACCGACCCCAGCACACCCGTCCTGCCTCAGACGCCGCCCCCGGCCTACCAGTACCCCCTGCCCCTGTCCTGGACCCTCCTCCTGACGCGGACCCTCCTCCGCTCCTGCCTGGCAGCCCCTGCTCCCGACGCGGCCCATGCGCCTGAGTGCGGCCCCACGCACCCTTTTTTTTCCCTCGGGTACTCCCTGCTACTGTCCTGCACCCTGCTGCTGTCGTGGTCCCTGCTGCTGTCATGCACCCTGCTGCTGTCATAGACCCTTTTCCTGATGCAGCCCTGCTCCTGACCCAGGCCCACACACCCCAGCAGGCGCATCTGAGGACTCTGTACCTGTCGCGAGGGAAACACAACATTCATCGCCCCCCCACACACCCTTTTTCTCCCTCTCTTCTCCCACAGATCTCGTGTGTCTAGAGACTCTAGACAGTTGTCTCCACTAGCGGCCGGCTCATCCACGCCCTCCCCGTTATGTCTCACATGTGGCATGCACCGCCCGTTCTGCCTCGCATGTGCCATGCAACCCTGCAGACAACAAGTCTCCTACACCGTCTGGAGGGAAGGGGGAGTATTGTAGTGGATTCCTCCCCTACAAACGTTTGTCGCTGAGTCGCCGACCACGCGAATTCCCCAGTGTATGCCTCGTGGTCTAGGTCAACCAGCGCCACCTTACATGACGGAGGTCAACTATTAAGCCACGCCTACCTCCGCTATATAAGACCTGACTTCGTGGTAACCTACCTCTCTCTTTCTACCTACACCAACCAGCAAGCAACACCTCCTCCTCTTCCTCCTGCCTGGCGGCCCTCGCTCCCGTCAGCGAGCATGGCGACCCACAAGCTGGTCCTCCTCTGAGCATCCTCACCAACTAGCTCTCTCTACATCACGCTTGTAACCACGCTGCCACTTCCCAGCACCAAGCTGCACTGTACACCCAATACAATATGTATACAGAGAGCACATTGTGAGTTTCCTTTCTCCATCCCATCCTGAGTGTGAACAAAATATCTCATAACCCCACAACACTATGAACTATCACTGTGTACACTGTATCTCCCTGTGAGTGGTGTATTATAAACACAGTTTCAGTGTTTGAGAAAGCACACAAACAAAATAAAATTTAAAGTCTCTGTGGCACCTATGACACGAATACTGTAGGCTGGCAGTTGTCCTTACCAGCTTGATTGCCAATATGTATTCACTTTAAGTTATTTACAGTCTCTTCTGCGGTCACTGATGACACTGAACTGCTTTACCTAAAATCACAGTACTACACTCCCTGGTTGGCCTTTATCACAGCCGTGACCACAAGTCCTTAAAAATAATAAAAATAAAAGCTTTGTCATGTGGCAGTGATTTTGTGGTTATAGGCCTCGTGACCTTGGCTGAACCTCCAACTCGGTGGAAATTGAGTTTTCAAAAATACAATCACATCTAGCATTAAAAGTCCTACATCGACTTACACTTTCACATCACTAAGACGATCTTGACGATCTTATGTAATCACTGTCCAATTTCTGCCGCTCTACATTGAAGGCCCGAATGCCGAACACGCTTTGTTACAGAGACGCAATACGACCCGCCCGCCCGCCCGCACCTCAGCTACCAGCTAAAAAATCAAGTTTGGTACCAACCATTTTCGGTATTATCAGTGTCGAATTAATCTAATAATTTGTATTTCCAATTTTGAATATGACTTTCCACTTTATCTTTTTTGTGACTTCAGTTTAGCACTCTTGAACTATTTCAATTTAGTACATAACCACTGGATCAGAGAACGCTTCAGTGTTCTAGTGTCTATATTATTCTTATTACGGCAAAAAAAATTACGAATAACCTCGTGAACAGACCCGAATTTTTAATCTTATATCAGTGTATAGGAAATTATATGTCTTCTCGAAATGGCTTCTTACATTTATTAAAAACGTATGACAATGATCATTCTTAAAGAGAGGGTCTTTAAAAAGCACAGAATGTAAAGCTGTAAACACTTGTTAACTTACTCTTCATCGTCTTTCTCGTCCCCGCAATCCTCGCTTCCTTCTTTTGCATTTTTTGCATGTACTTCTTTCTCCTTTGTTCGCTTCTCTGCAGAGAATTTGTGTACATTAGTCATTTTCATATATAAAAAGAAAGAGACCAAACAAACGCACACAGCAGGAAGAAATATTGACCATTCAAAAACATGCATAAGGGAGACAAATACGACCACAAGGACTCAGTAATATATACAGATTATATATATATATAATCAACAACCTCACCAGCCAGGACTCGAACCCTCGACCTTATGCGTGTGACCAGGGATTCAGGGATTGCTACCAACCACGCCACAAGGACACTAAAAAGCCAACCTAGACTTTTGTTATATTTCACACAAAGCCTAATCATCGTGCTTATGGCGCAGTGAACCTCCAATTGGGGATTGCCGTGCCACTTATGTGGTCGGAGTAGCATTTTACAGAATTCAGCATCGAAACACGAGGTTCCATATATATTTCATTAGTTCATATAGCATGCAGATTTCAACATATAATCAACAACCTCGCCAGCCAGGTCGAGAGTTCAAGTCCTGGCTGGTGAGGTTGTTGATTATATGTTGAAGTCCACGTGCTAAATGGACTAATGAAATATATATATATATATATATATATATATATATATATATATATATATATATATATATATATATATATATATATATATATATATATATATATATATATATATATATATATATATATATATATACATATATATATATATATACATTTTTTTTTTCATGAGCCCAATAAAGCACGCAGACTTCTACATATAATCAACATGTAGAAGTCTGCATGCTTTATTGGGCTAATGAAATATATATGGATCCTCGTGTTTCGAAGCCGGATTTGGTAACACGTTACTCTGACCGCCTAAGTGATACTGGTAGTCCCCATTAGAGGTTCACGGCGTCATAAGCTCGTTGAACAGGCTTTGTGTGAAATATAACAGAATCTGGGAGTGCTTTTGTATCCTGGTGATATAATGGTAATGCTCCCTGGTCACAATCATAAGATCGTGAGTTCAAATCCTGGCGGGGTGAGGTGTTGATTATACAGTATATATATATATATATATATATATATATATATATATATATATATATATATATATATATATATATATATATATATATATATATATATATATATCATAAATCTTGATAAAATCTCACAGGGAAAAGGGAAACAATGGAGCACCTTAGCTTTTGTCTTTATTCAAGACATCTTCAGAGGCAACTGAATTACATGGATGGAGAGAGGCTTAAATATATAGGGTGACCTTACTAAACATGAGGTCAGGTCATAATCATGATATCCACTAATCCACACACCAACACCAACACACACACAGAGGAGCTCAAGAGAAAAGGGAGACGTGACTAGTCAAGTTAAGTCAGGTCAAAAATATGGGACCCACTAAATATCTATCTTACATCTAGCTCCAAGGTTTTCAAAGCATTTTTAACCTTGGGCCACTGACAAATAAATTTATGTCACATATTATCAGTTTTGTATTGACCATCACTAAGGTTTATGGAATTTAATTCCCTAATCAGACTAGCTTCAACCAGAAGTCTTTCTGTGACGCATGATAATTTGTACACTTCTAAGCTTTTTTCCCAATCAATAGGATGATTATTTTTCCTAACATGAACGAACAGTGCACTGCTTTCAGATGCTGTTCTGATATTGTACTTGTGCTGTTAAATTCTGAGTTGCAATGCTTTCCCAGTCTGTCCTACATAATTTCCATTACATTTGCTGCATGGAATACAATAAACACTTCCATTTACACTCAAAGTTGGGCTATTCTTGATTAATATATTGGTAATGGTTGAGTCATACTTAAAAACAAAATTAATATTTAATAATTTAAGGGATTGAACTAAAGGGACAAATTCATTGCGATAAGGCTGAGTCAAAATATTCTTAAGTGTAGGAATTTCCCTGGTTTGAGTAGAATGAATGGATTTCTTAGCCCTTTTAAAACAATGATCAACAAACAATGAAGGGTACCCAAGTTTTTGTGAAATGGAACGAATGTGTTTCAGTTCTTCATCAATAAATTCAGCGTCACAAATACGCAAACATCTCAAAAACATAGCAGAAAAAACTGACATTTTGGTAGACTCCAGGTGACACGATAAAAAATGTATGAAACTGTCTACCTGTGTAGGCTTTCTGTACACCTTTAATTTATAGTTATGGCCATTTCTAATGATAAGCATATCAAGAAATGGAAGGGATCCATTTATTTCTCTTTCAATTTTGAATGTAATACTTGGGATAAGATTATTAAGCTTGTCTAAAAATTCCAGTGGGTCACTGTTTCTAGGCCAAAGGCAAAGAACATCATCTACACGCACACACACACACACATATATATATATATATATATATATATATATATATATATATATATATATATATATATATATATATATATATATATATATATATATATATATATATATATATATATACATATATATATAGATATATATATATATATATATATATATACTTCATTTTTAGTCCATATAACACACGGACTTTGAACATATAATCAACGACCTCACCAGCCAAGACTCGAACCCTCGACCTACTGTGTGGGACCAGGGAACGCTACTGACCATGCCACAAAGACACTAAAAACAGTTCTAGACTGTGTTATATTTCACACAAAGCCTGTTCATCGAGCTGATGGCGCCGTGAACCTCTCATTGGGAACTGCCCGTGCCATTTATGTGGACATCAGTAGCATTTTACCCAATCCAGCTGGTATGAAACACAAGGTACCATATATACTTCATTTTTAGTCCATATAACACGCGGACTTTGAACATATAATCAAATTAATTCCGGATTCAGAAGCAAGCCCTAGTCCCAACCCAGTAGGTCGAGGATTCGATCTCCTGGCTGGTGAGGTCGTTGATTATATATATATATATATATATATATATATATATATATATATATATATATATATATATATATATATATATATATATATATATATATATGCTGATAACCACAAGAAAAACATGAAGTTCCCAAGGCTCCGTAATTCACATCATCAGGTGAGCAGACTAAAGAGTAATACTTGAGAAGGCTAATATATACAATAGAGGAGAGTGAGAATCCCTAAAGCGACAGCAGAGGGTCCTATTGCGAGGTTTTCAGAGTTTTAATTATAATGTAAACAATCACAGACCTGCTACGTCTCACATAACGTACCAACCACTGTAATAACAGGAACAACCCGGCCATGGAGAGACTGAGAACCACAATGAACGCTTGCCTGGCCTCGGGTTACTTCCCAACTAAATTCAAAGAGGCCATTATTACCCTAACACCAAAACAAGGAAAGAACCCCGCCGTCCCACTAAACTACAGACTGATCTCCCTCCTCGAAGTGCCTGGAAAAATCCTAGAAAAATCATCAATAACCGTCTGAGAAATCACCTGGAAACAACAAACAGAGTCAACTGCAGACAATTCGAGTTCAGGAAAGGGTAGTCCACCACAACAGCGATAGCCCTGGCATGTGAAAACATAGCCAGAGCCGCGGCGAGTGGTAGACAATGTAATCTAACTCTCCGGGATGTAGCGAAGGCATTTGACAAAGTCTGGCACGACGGTCTAAAATATAAGATCCTCCAACTCGGACTTCCCACCAACATTGAAAAGTTGCTTTGCAACTTTCTTGACGGCAGAAATGCTAGACTGAGGGTAGGACAACACACAGGAGAGACCTTCCCACTCATGAGCGGAGTCCCTCAGGGGAGCGTCCTCTCCCCCACCCTATATATTATCTACACAAGTGACACCCCGCCTCCCACTAAAATAGGTAACGAAGATATTATGTATGCAAATAACATCACTCAAATAACAACACACATCAAGAAAATCACGAGCGTTACAGGTTGATAACAACAGGCGGGAATTAGAAAAGGGGTAAATAATTACGAAAACAATGGAAAATCCAAACTAGTCTCCAGAAATTCACGTGATACCCTTATGCAGAAGAAAACCCATCCATTAGTAACCAATAATACCCAGATAGAATACAAAACAGAGGACACCCTCCTGGGCCTGCATATATCATGGCAGGTTATTCCCATCATGTCCACACCAGGAAGGAAAAGGCAAGAGAGGCTAGAAAACTATACTATGAGCACCACTCAAATATTAAAATTATAGGTGGTCCAAAAATGAAGCCTAAGATTCGTCACAGGTGAAAGATACCCTTGCACCAGAACCACAGCCGAGATACATAGAGACCTGAGAATAAAACCCATCAACCAGCAGCTGCACTTCCTGGCCAGCAGAATCTGGCAAAAGATAGAACGATCAGAGCAGAACTCCTTCAAAGACTCCACCACATAACGACAACAACCATACATGGTTCCCAAAAAGTTACCAAATCTCAAAAGGTCCATTACCACCCCGATCTACACGGCCAGGCAATAGACAACCTCCTAGACCAGCATCCGCCAGTAGGGTCGGCGGAATATGAAATAAGGTCGTTAAACACCCATAAATGGGACAGGGTAGGATGTCTAGTGCCTGTACCGACAGACAATAACTAACCCATGACACAACCCTGACACACTATTAGCTTAGCTAGGCGGTCAGCCCGCCCTCTCTTACCTCTTCCCAAATTTCTTCAATTTCCTAACTATAACTTCCTTCCCCACCTCTAATCGTCTTTCACCCTCCTTTCTCTACACAAAAAAGTGGATCTGTGGCCGACTGTCCGTGTGGTTAATTCAGTCGCCTTTTTGTTTACGACAGGGAGCCGGAATGTTTGGTCAAGCCACACCCTGACATCCCAGTAAACAAACACCTTGACACCCATCACACACACCCGTTACCTCATCAAAACACACCCTGATACACCCCATCACAAATACACACCCAAACACACCCTGACACGCCCCCATCACAAACACCCCATCAAACACACCCTAACACGCCATCACAAACACACACCTGACACACCCATCACACACACCTTTAAACACCCCATCACAAACACACACAACCCCCATCAAACACACCCTGACACACCCCATCACAAACACACACCCTATCGCTTCATCCATCACACGCATGTATAAAGACTTACGGAGAGCGCGGTGTTGGTCCTCCTGACAGTGGTCTCGGCCAGGGTTAGGTGTTGTAGGGACCTGAGCCTCTGACCTGGTGATGGTGGTGCCATCCAGTTCGTGGAGGGCTGGCAGGTTACCAAACCCAAGTCCTGTACCCCCGGTAATTGGTGCACGGTTGCCTGTCAAGTACCTGAAAAAACTGTGCTATAACCTCCATCATATTAATCTTAATTTTGGTGATGATTCTTACTGTACTGTCGGTCTGCGCCTACAGCAGGTCACCCCTTCTGTTGCCTGGGTGTTTTATTGTTATATCTGAATGACGTTTTATGTTAACTGCAAAAAGCAAACTTAAGAATACATTCGTAATGCATATTGGCTATGAAATAGGTACCGGCTACTTAAACTGAAATCTATGTTGCCGACAACAGCTACACAGCGCATATAAAATCGATACAGTTGTGAAAGAATTACCTCGTATATAAATATTTTAATTTCCTTTGAGTTTGTTGTTTCATGAATATCGAGGTGGTTTATTGTTTCGGATCAGAATTGCGGTGCGACTGGGGCATGTTCCGTCACTTAGCCGGGACCTGCCTTGCCAAGAGCTACTCTCCTGCCCTACTCTGTACATAAGAACATGGGAACATAAAAATAGAAAGAACTGCAGCTGGCCTATTGATATCGCTCATGTTTCTGCCCAACCTATATTTGAAGCTTCTTAGTGTGTTCGAGTATATGATAATGTTCGGTAACTTATTCCAGTCATCCACTACTCTATTTTCAAACCAGTTTACCTATCTC